CACCGATACAGAGTGATCTAGATTGTTTGGTAAACTGAGTGCAAGCAAACATTATGCATTTTGACATGGCTAAATGTCAGTGTATACATCCAAGAAAAAAAATGTCGGCCATATTTACAGGATGGGGGATGCTATCCTGGGAAGCAGAGACTCTGCAAAATATTTGGGGGTCATGGTGGATAAGCAGCTGAACATGATCTCCCAGTGTGACGCTGTGGCCAAAATCGCTAATGTAATCCTGGGGTTCATATACAGTGGAATGTCGAGTAGGAGTATAGAGGTTATTTTACCTCTGGATTTGACACTGGTGCAAGTTCTGCTGGAATCCTGTGTCCAAATCTGGGGCCCACAATTAAAGAAGTATTTTGATATATTGGGGAGGGGTCAGAGAAGAGCCATGAGAATGATCAAAGGATTAGAAAACATGCCTGACAGTGATAGACTCAAAGAGCTCAATCTGTTTAGTTTAACAAAGAGAAAGCTATTGGGTGACATGATCACAGACTATAAGTATCTACACAGGGAACAAAGATTTAATAAAGAGTCATGGTCAATTCTTAATAACTGACCATTTTAAAATGAAGACTGGATGTTTTTTCTAAACAATTCATTCTAGGTATAATTGTGGGGCAGTTCTCTGGGCAGAGTTACACAGGAGTTCAGACCAGATGATCACCATGGTCCCTGCAGGCCTTGGAATCTATGAATTTAGGTGTGGGGATGGATGGACAGATGGATGTGTATGGGGATGGATGGATGGGTGGATGGATAGTGCAGGAATGGATAGAGGGATGGATGGATAGGCAGGGATGGATACATGGATAGACAGATGGAGGAACGGAAGGATGAATGGATGGATGGTCGGATGGACACATGGACGGGTAGAGAGATGGATGGTTGGATGGAGGGATGGTCTTTTCCACCATAAGGATGACACTTGCAACATTGACGAACCCTCCTGCCTTAGTAAGCCCAACCTAACCGCAAACAATTACCCAGAATTAAATCAACATCAACAAACAAATGTAATTAAACAAATAAGCTCTGAACAACTCAAAAATCGAAAGAAAGAAAGAAAGAAAGAAAGAAAGAAAGAAAGAAAGAAAGAAAGAAAGAAAGAAAGAAAGAAAGAAAGAACTAGAAGGGACCACAATATGTCATCTCATCCAGTCCCCTGCACTGAGGTAGGTCTAAGTATTATCTAGACCATCCCTAACAGATGTTTGTCTAACCTGCTCTTAGAAATCTCCAAAGAAGGCAATTCCACAACCTCCCTGGGCAATTTGTTCTAGTGCTTAACCACCCTGACAGTCAGGAAGTTTTTCCTAATGCCCAACCTAAATCTCCCTTGTTGCAGTTTAAGCCCATTGCTTCCTGTCCTGTCCTCAGTGATTAAGGAGAACGATTTATCACCCTCCTATTCATAACAATCTTTTAGGTATTTGAAGACTGTTATCATGTCCTCCTCAGCCTTCTCTTCTCCAGACTAAACAAACCCAGTTACTTCAATCTTTCCTCAGAGATCATGTTTTCTAGTCCTGTAATCATTTTTGTTGCTCTCCTCTGGAATTTCTCCAATTTCTCCACATCTTTCCTGAAATGCGGGACCCTCAGCTGGATGCAATATTCCAGTTGAGGACTAATCAGTGCTGAGTAGTGCAGAAGAATTGCTTCTTGTGTCTTGCTTATAAGACTCCTGCTAATAGATCTCAGAATTACATTCACTTGTTTTGCAACAGGGTTACTGTTGGCTCATATTCAATTTTTGATCTGCTCCTTCCCAGGCAGTCATTTCCCATTTCATATGTGTGAAACAGATTGTTCCTTCCTAAGTACAGTGATTTGCATTTATCGTTATTGAATTGTGTCCTATCTATTTCACACCATCTCTGCAGTTTGTCAAGATCATTTTGAATTCTAATCCTGTCCTCCAAACCACGCGCAACTCCTCCCAGATTGGTATCATCTGCATACTTTATAAGTGTACTCTCTATGCCATTTATGCAGTTATTGAATAGAACCTGACCCAGGATAGATCCCTGCAGGACTCCACTCGATATGCTGCTTCTGCTTGGCTGTGAACCACTGATAACAACTCTCTGGGAACAGTTTTCCAACCAGTTATGTGCCCACCTTATAGTAGGTTCTTCTAGGCTATATTTCCCTAGTTTGTTTATGAGAAGGTCATGCAAGACATAACAAAAGCTTTACTAAACTTGAGATAAATCACATGTACTGCTGCCCACCTATCAACTAGGCTTGTTACCCTGTCAAAAGATACTACGTTGGTTAGACATGATTTGTTCTTGACAAACCCATGTTAACTCTTACTTATTACCTTCTTTTCTTTTAGATGCTTAAAATTATAGAATCATAGATCCATAGAAGATTAGGGTTGGAAGAGACCTCAGGAGGTCAGCTAGTCCAACCCCCTGCTCAAAGCAGGACCAAACCCAAGTAAATCATACCAGCCAGGGCTTGGTCAAGCTGGACCTTAAAAGCCTCTAAGGATGGAGATCTGAGTGTTGGATTATTTGCTCCATTCTCTTTCCAGGTACCAAAATATAGGTGACTGGTCTATAATTCCCTGGGTTACCCTTATTCCCCCTTTTTATAGACAGGTACTATCTTTGCTCTTTTCCAGTCCTCTGAGATCTCTCCCTTTGTTCATGAGTTCTCTAAGATAATCACTAACGGCTCAGAGATCTCTTTAGATAGATAGATAGATAGATAGATAGATAGATAGATAGATAGATAGATAGATTCTGGACTTGCACTGCTGCTAAGACCGCAACAGGGCCATGGTGAGCAGGAACAGGGAGGGTGTTTCCCGGGGGATCCAGGGATCCTGCGCCCAGTTCAGGGCTGCGCACTTTAAAAGGGCTGGCACCAAACTGGAGATGGGGCAGGATGGCGCCAGGCAAATGATTGGAGGGCTGGAGAAAACACCTGGCAGGAAGAGACTGAAAGCACTCGCTCTGTTTGGCCTCTCCACAAGTCTGTGGCCGCTCAGGGCACAAGGACCTTCGCGGGGAGACAAAGCCGGGTGCTGGGGGCTCTTCAATCCAAAGGGAAAGGCAGAGCAAGATCTAACAGAGGAAGTTGGAGCCTGATCAAATCCAATGGGAAAGGAGGCCCCAGTATGTGACAGGGAGGGGGATTCACCAGGGGAACCAGCTCCACAGAGCAGGGGGGTTCCTCCATCTCCAGGTGGCAGCAGACCCGGCTTTGCTGCCTTGCTGGAAGAGGCGTTCGTCAAACACCAGTGACCGGGCTCAATCCAGGGGAGCTCGGTGAGCTTCTCTGGCTGGGGTCACTCAGGAGGGCACGAACATCTATGGATCCAGGTGTAAGCGGGGGAATAGTCCCGCTATTGTGGGGAACTTTCCTGGCTTCTGCACTACCCTGGTGAAGTGGGCTAGCGAAAGGAGCTGAGTCCTCGCTCCCACTTCCTTTACCCAGTGGCCTCCCTGCCCTTGAGGACTCCCCTTCCACTCTCCTGTCTGGCAGAGTCCTCGTAACCCCAACAAGGCTGGGCCCAGGATTCCTGGGGGGCTCGACCCCCAACCCTGCTGTGATCACCTAGGACAGGGGCTAGGGTGTCCCCACTCCGGGGGTACTCTCTCTGCACTGGGCACTTCTCTGACCCACTGACCATTACATACAAGTTAAAGCAAATGCAAGTTATTTAATCAACAATTAATTTTAAAAAGAATCAGGAAAAATGGGAAAGGTTAAAGGAAACACATCAACCCGCTCTGTGGCAGGGAACATCACAAACAGTGTCTCTGGAACGTCAGGGCAGTTCACAGTCTGTTCCTTGTAAGCCCCAGGCCTCCTGCTCAGGCCCTGGTTGTGCTGCAGGGATGCTCTGGGTTGGACACTTGCTCTGGTGATGGCCGCACGGTCTCAGGCTCTAAGTGGCAGGACCCTTCTGCCCTGTGTCGCCCCCGCCCTGTCGGGGTTACGATCCAAGCCTGGTCTCCCTGTGCTGGGCCCACTGCCCAGGGTCCCCCTCGCTCTCCCCAGCTGCTCACTGCACCCAGCTCCGGACTGCTCCAGCCCCGGCTGCACCACTCGGTCTCTGCACGGCTGCTGCTCTGCCTCCAGCTCCCTGGGCTGCTTCTTTGGCTCTGGTTGCTGCAGCTCTGCTCCCAGGACAGGTCTGCTCTGCAGGCTGCTTCTGTGACTCTGCTCCCAGCACTGACCTGCTTCCTGGGCTGCTTTTCTGGCCCCTCTGGCTCTGGTTGCCTCAGCTCTGCTCCCAGGACAGGTCTGCTCTGCAGGCTGCTTCTGTGACTCTGCTCCCAGCACTAACCTGCTTCCTGGGCTGCTTTTCTGGCCCCTCTGGCTCTGGTTGCTGCAGCTCTGCTCCCAGGGCAAGTCTGTTCTCTCTGGACTGTGCTGGCTTTGGGGCTGCAGCTCTGCTCCCAGGACAGGGTCTGCTCTCTCTGGATCTGGTCCAGCTCTGCTCCCCAGCTCAGCTCAGGCCCCTGCTTTCTCGTTAGCTCAGCCCCACTCTGTCTGACCCAGGCAAATCCAGCTCACACAGAGAACGGGACCTCCCTGGCTTCCTGACTCCCTGAATAGCCTGCTCGCCCTGTCATTCAGGCTGACCTGGAGCATTGGCCTCTCCCCATTATACCTGGGGACTGTCAGTCTCAGGGTCCTGATTCCCCATCGACCCTTCACCCTTTTTAGTACTGACAGCTAGCAACTAAAACACCCCCATGAATGTTAGTTAGGGGGCAACAGTTCCCTTACACAGGTATCCAGGGGAAGATCAGACCAGGGGGGATTCTGCCATCTGTAGCTGAGAGGCCTCAGCACTGGCTCTGTCCCAACCAGGGGCAGGAAGAAAGCAGCGTTATCCATGGCCCCAGCCAATGGCAGGGAGGGCACCAGTGCAGGAAGGAAACCCCCCCCCCATGCAGGCGTTTCCTCTTGGGGAATCTCCACCTCTGACACATCGCTGATGGGGCATTTCTTGGTAGCTGGGTCCATGACCCTGCACTTCCCGGATCACCTCTTCCCAGGGTCCCCTCTCTACCACCCGCTCTATATAAACCCTGGGGCTGAGACAGACCCACCAGACCCAGCCCCTGGATTTGTACCAAGGATGCTGCTGCTCCTGCTCCCCACGGCCTTTCTCCCAGTGGCTGCAGCCTTTCTCCTGCCCTGGAGGCTTCATGCTGGTGAGTTGAGCTGAGTGACTGGTTGATTTCCCAGCCCTCGGGGGCTAATGGTCAGAGTGGGGCTGAGCGAATCGCTGAGTTTTTGGTTCAGGGGCTGAAATATAAAATCTGGGGGAAATTGGTTTCAACCCAAAAATGATTTTATTTGGTTTTTCTCACTAAAAAAGTTGATCCAGAACCAATTGTTTTTTCTTTTTCATTTGCTTTCATGTGCTTACTTCAATCCCAACAACACTTTGGGGGTGTTTTTTCATTTGATTTCAGGTTGTTTTAGAGGGGTTTTTTCCCGCTGTTTTCAAAAATAATTCACTCCATTTCTAAACAAATCAACATTTCAAAAGAAAAAGGTGAGCTGTTTTGTTTCCCAATGCCAAGAACTAAAGTTGCCTCCTTTTTCCAGAAAAAAATTTCCTTTTTTGGTAGTCAAAATAAATCCTCAGAATTCCACCGGAATTCGCAGGTTCTTCTGATGCCCCAAAGTTGCATTTTTTGGCAAATTTACCAATTGCTTAGAAAAATTTGCCCAGTTCTAGTGGTGAGATTAGGGAGACCAGGGCTCATGGGCAGCCCACATCAGGGGCAGGGTTTGGGATTAGCCCTCAGGCTCAGGTAGGTGTCAGGAGAGGGGGCAATGGGGCTGGAGAATGCTAGGGAATCCCTGGCCTACTTCTCTGCGTGGGGAGATGGCCTGGGGCAGCCCCAGAGACAGATGAATGGATGGCTGGGTGTGGGATTAGGGATGGATGGATGGACATGTCCACGTGGGAATATGTGGATTACACTGGGTACATGTATGGGTAGACACCAGGCTGGGGGGATGATCCAGGGGGAGGCCGGGCTGGAGGTGGGCAAGGGGCTGATCCAGGCCAGCAGGAGGTGGCGCTGATGGATTAGGGTCTGCGTTGCACTGGGCTCTTGGTCCCACTCTCCAGACTCCCTTTTGAACCCCTCCCTGTCTTTCTCCAGATCGGGTCATCAGGGGCCAGGAAGCCCCGCTCGGCTCCAGACCCTACATGGCCTACGTGCAAATCGGGTCAATGGGAAGCTGTGGAGGGTTCCTGATCCAGGAGGACGTGGTGGTGACGGCGGCTCATTGTAACTGCAACCTGGGGTAAGAAACATGCCATCCCGCACCCCTGAGCCAGCTGGTCACCTGCCCTAGGGCTGGATTGGGGCTGGTGCCCCTAGAGGGGAAAGGCCCTCTGTCCCATTCCCCATCCACCGAGCCAGCCAGTCCCCCACCCTGGGGCAGGATCAGAGCTGGAAATATGTTGCCCCAAAGACTAGACGTTTATGGGATGTGAAAATTATGAATTTTCATGGGTGCCTGTTAGATTTTAAAGCCCAAACCCACCAAACTAGCATGGTGAATATCCCAGCTGACCTTTGTATTCAAATGCCTGTGATTGAGTCACTTCACTCAGTTGAAATGTGGCTTCTTCTCTGGTCTTTTCCCTTGTCCATCACCTCACAAACCCAGGCACTTGGTTTTTCTTAACCAATCAAGAAATCCCATAATTGCCTTTTGGGGATCTGAGCCCTGCCAAACCCAACAACCTTGTAAGCAATTGATGTAGATCAGCGCTGGGGCTCAGCTGTTGCACCAGAGACTGATCCAATCCCCAGGATTTCCTACTACATTCACTTACGATCATCAGCCATCAATACTTTCATGTCTCTAGCACATTTCTCACACTGTCATTAATTCTCCATGCGCTAAAGTTGCACTTTGCCTTAAGGTGCTCTGTGAATGTGGTCCCTGATAGTTCTAGTTTGGAGGGGGGACACTAGTTTAAAGCATCAAAAGCAGTTGCCTCAAGTTGTTTGTTGGAGGTTGTCGTAGGCTGTTGACTTGGACTGACGAAGGAGAAACAGGCATAGAGCGTAGCTTAGTTAAAATCCAAGTTATGGTTCCTTGAGGTCTCTCTAGGCCGAGAGCAGAGACAACAGGGGAACACCCAGATACTGAGGTTAAAGAAAGATGAAGAGATTCAATCTCTGCCATCAAGTCTCACCACTACTTCTCATGTCCTGCTAACTCTGGAGGAGGGAAGGGGCTATGCAGAGGTGCTGGGCCAAGTGTCCGGGAACCCTTCTGGACTTCAGCATCTTCTCTGAGGCACTCAGCAAGCTCTTTCATCTCACATAATGACCTCTCTCTCCAGGATCATTTGCAGATTTGGGCTTCTTCCTACTTCCATCCATACCCAGTAGATGGCGACGGTGCATAAAATATTATTTGATCCTTTTCTTATTTGTATGTTTCATTCACTCCAGCGACCTTATTTCTGTGTCGGCCCAGCCAAGGCGTCTGGGATTCTCCCCCTTTAAGAAATTTCTTTTAATATTTCAAAGTTACACCCAGGTAAGGTCCTTACACCTTCTGATGGGTATTTTCCTTCTTCTGCCGTATGCAGTTCAATGATTCAGAGATTACAAGATCATTGTGATCACCTTGTGCGACCTCCTGTATAACACAGACCAGAAAATGTCTCCCAAATAATTCCTTTTGATCTACAGCCGATCTTTAAAAAATCCAGTCTTGTTTAAAAATTGTCAGTGAATCAGAATCCATGATGACCTTTGGTAAATTCTCCCAATGGTTAGTTACAGTCCCTGTTAATAATTCATACCATGAAACAATAATTGAGAAAGAAAAACAAACAGAATCCTTTATAGTCCCTCTAAATTAGAAACCAATTGATCTTGAGTTTCTCAGTATAAGGCAAAAAGAAAAGGAGTACTTATGGCACCTTAGAGACTAACCAATTTATTTGAGCATGAGCTTTCGTGAGCTACAATAAATTGGTTAGTCTCTAAGGTGCCACAAGTACTCCTTTTCTTTTTGCGAATACAGACTAACACGGCTGTTACTCTGAAACCTGTCAGTATAAGGCAGGTTTTCCAATCTTTTGATCATTCTCGTGGCTCTTCTCTGACCCTTCCCCAATTTATCAACATCCTTTTTGAATAATGGACACAAGAACTGGACAATGGGTCACTCTGAATAGGAGAACAGTCCATTGGTCAGTCTTTTGGGGTCTCTTTAGCCAACAAGAGGGGAGAAGGAGGAAGTCCATCCACATGTAGGTGCATAAGAGGGTCTCTGTGTTACTCAGTTGCACAACTATAGATAGAAATTTGCACAGGCCAGGTGCAGGGTTGGTGTCCCTATTCGAGGGGCTGTGATGGCCCGACCTCACTGTCCAAAGGGCACTAACGCCCCCATATTCTCTCCTTCTCGTTTCCAGCAATATCTTTGTCTACCTGGGAGTCCAAGACTTCATGAAGCCAGGACAGAACTGGCAACGGATCCGGGCCCGTCGCTGGATCCAGCACCCTGACTTCAGCAATGAGAACTTTGATAACGACATCATGCTGCTGAAGGTACCGCCACCAGTGACCTCATTCTGCTAGGGTACCACCCCCATCCCATCAGCCGGCCCCCAGTGACCTCGCACTGCTGCAGGTACCACCCCCATCCCATCATCCCTCCCCAGTGCCTGACTTCAGGTACCACCCCCATCCCATCATCCCTCCCCCAGTGACCTCGCACTGCTGAAGGTAGCACTCCCGTCCCATCATCCCTCCCCCAGTGACCTCACACTCACTCCCTGGACTCACATCCATGCTCTGGCCGGGTGGTGCTGCCCCTTCCCAGCCCCAGTCCCGGCGCTGATCCGGGTCCATTCTCTCTCTCTCCTCCCCATGGCAGCTATGGCGCAGCGCGGAGCTGACCGAATGGGTGATGCCCATCCCCCTGCCGGAGGCCGATCACCACGTCAGCCCAGGCTCCGAGTGCAGCGTGGCCGGGTGGGGTCGGACCGGAGTGAACACCACCACCGACAGGCTGCAGGAGGCGGAGCAGGAGGTGGTGTCGGACGGGCTGTGCGGAGAGCGGTACCGGCATTACGACCCCACCACCATGCTGTGTGCCGGCAGCCCCCACGCCAAGAAATCAGCCTTCCAGGTAAATACCCCCCAGCCCAGAGCCACTGGGGGTGCAGCAAGCTGCTCCAGGGGAAGGAGCTGGTGGAAACCAGTATGGCCGTGCCCCTCCCATGCTCCACTTCCCCAAAGGGAGCCCATAGTACATCATGGGAGATGCAGCCCACCCAGGGAAACCAGTATCTAGGACGTCTCCAGAGAGGTATCTCTGGTGTTAGTGCCCTTGTGCAAGGTGCTGGTGGAAATGGGCTGAAATTTAACATGGGCTCATGCACATAGGGACAAGAAACAAGAAAATTGCTGCTCTGAGCTGAGGGCTCATGAGCTCGAAGCAACAGAGCGGAAGGGAGACCTGGGTGTGTCTGTCAATTGCAGGGTGACTACGGGCCTCCAGGAGAAAGGCCCATGCGATCCTGGGATGGAGCAGTTCAGGTGTCTCCAGTAGAGAGGGAGGGTTTAATGCCAGCAGAGAAGGCACCGGGCAGAGCTCAGCTGGAATCCGGTGCAGAGTTCTGGGCAGCCCTGTCCCAAAAAGAAGGATTCCGGCTGGACCAGGTGCCGAGAAGGGCTGGTGGGACGGTCGGGGGAATGGAGAGCCAGTCTCATGAGAGGGGAGTAAAATACTGAGCTATGTTAGCCTAAAACACAGGCTGAGCAGGGTCTGATTGCTCTACAAATACATCAGGGTGGGCAGAGGAGTGGACAGCAGGGAGGGAGACGAGCTGTGGAAGCTACAGGAAAAATCAAATGGGGATAAATGGGGCAGGGATCAATGGAGCCTGGAGATGAGGAGAAGGTTTCTAACCATCAGAGGTGGGAGGTTCTGGAACAACCTCCAACGGCAGCAGTTGTGGGCAAGGGGAACAACCTAACAAGGATGCAGACAGAGCTTGATAAGTTTATGGATGGGATGATATGACAGGGCTGCCTGGGATAGCAGGAACTGGACTGCATGACCCAGTACGCCCCTTCCAATCCTGTGTTCCCATAATGGCATGAGGCCCCTGAAATACAACTCCCATGATGCCTCATGAGTAGACATTTTTGGGCTTTGATTTTTTTAAACATGTTCTAGGGAAAATGTTAATAAAACATGGGGACCCCCCACCACCACCACATGTTCTCATGTCTCTACTCTTCACCTTCCCTGGAGGCTCTACTGGTGAACTCAACCTTGAGGCCACCCAACAGACAGGACCCTGATGAAATCCTGGCCCCATACATGTGGATGGGAGCTTTGCTATTGACATCCATAGGGCCAGGATGTCACTGGAGCTGAGGGAGAATCAGTGTTCCCATCTCACAGGAAATGGCAACATTTCAATCTTTGTTTTTGAGGAAGAGTTGAGATTTCAACATTTTTGGCAGAGCAGAAATTCCAAAATCTGGTTTGACTCAGAAAAGTCAAAATGTTTCATTGCAACATTTTAAAGGGAAATGAAACATGCTGAGATGTGAACAGATTGAAATGTTTCCTTCCATGCAGGGGTGAAAGTAATATGAAACACTTACCAGTGCAGGGGACCAGCTCCGGGCCCCTGGAAGGGGCTGGGCCTCAGGCTGAAGGGGAGGGGCTGGGGGTCAGCCTCCCCCAGCCAGCCCATCCGCACTGCCTGGCCTGCGCCGTCCGGGGCTCCGGCAGTGATTTAAAAGGGCCCGGGGCTCAGGCTGCTGCTGTGGTAGCAGCGGCAATGGCTGGGAGCCCCGGGCCCTTTTAAATCGCCAGCTCTGGGGCAGCTTCCCTTTTTGCCCCCCTCCCCCCCGCCCTGCCCCCCGGCAGCAGCCCGGAGTGGGGGCAAAAGGGGAAGTGACGTTAAAGCACTGCTGTGGCAGCGCTTTAACGTTGGCTCCATACAGGCCGGTACCGGCTTTTTGCCGCTACACCGTACTGGCCGGTACCGGCCCACTTCACCCCTGCTTCCATGTGAACAAACTGGAGAGCGTCCAGAGGAGAGAAACAACAACAAAATGATCAGAGGTTTAGAACAGCTGACCTAGGAGGAAAGGCTAAAGAATTGGGCATGTTTAGGCTAGGGAAGATGAGGCTGGAGGGGGGATGTGATAACCATCTTCAAATATGATTTAGTTGGTGTTGGTCCTGCTTTGAGCAGGGGTCGGACTAGATGACCTCCTGAGGTCCCTTCCAACCCTGAGATTCTATGGTTCTATGATATGCTAAGGGCTGTTCTAAAGAGGACAGTGACCAAACATTCTCCATGTCCACTGAAGGTGGGACAAGGAGTATTGGGCTTAATCTGCAGCAAGGGAGATTAATGTTGGATACAGTAACTCCTCACTTAAAGTCGTCCCGGTTAACGTTGTTTCATTGCTGATCAGTTAGGGAACATGCTCGTTTAAAGCTGTGCAATGCTCCCTTATAACGTCGTTTGGCAGCCGCCTCCTTTGTCCACTGCTTGCAGGAAGAGCAGCCCGTTGCAGTGAGCTGGTGGGGGCTTGGAACCAGGGTGGGCCGGCAGCCCCCCATCAGCTCCCCGCTCCCCTAAGTTCCCTGTGGGGCAGCCGCCCAGCAGGCTATCAATTGCCGGTAGTTCAGCTGTCCCTCCTCCCACTGCCATGTGCTGCTCCTGCCCTCTGCCTTGTAGCTGCTCCCCGGAGCCTCCTGCTTGCTGTGCGGAGTGGGGGGGAAGAGGGGAGCTAATATCAGGGTGTCCCCCTCCCCCCTGCTCCTGCACCCCACTTACCCCATCTTCCATAGAGCAGGACACACGACAGGGCTCAGGACGGAAGGAGGTTCCTGGCAGCAGCTGCTGTCTCAGCTTGCTGATCTACTTAAAAAGGCAATGTGCTTAGAGTAGGGTCAGCGTACTTAAAGGGGCAATGTACATCTCTCTCTCACACACAGGGTGTGTGTCTCTGTCTCTGTCTCTGTCTGCCACGCTGTCTCCCCTCCCTCCATTCATGCTGCCTTGTAGAGTGTGAGGCTACATTAACAACAAAGTGTTAACCCTTGAGGGCTCAGCCAAGTGCTAGTTCATCATTTAGCAGCAAGGCAACCCCTGGGAAATATCCCACCCTCTGACTTCACCACCTCAACCAAGCTTCGCAATCAGCATCACTGTGTACCAGTATTAAATTGTTTGTTTAAAACTTATACTATGTGTGTATATATATAATATAGTCTTTTGTCTGGTGAAAAAAATTTCCCTGGATCCTAACCCCCCCATTTACATTAATTCTTATGGGGAAATTTGATTTGCTTAACACCATTTCGCTTAAAATCGCATTTTTCAGGAACATAACTATAAGGTTAAGCGAGGAGTTACTGTATTCGGAAAAACTTTCTAACTCTCAGGGTCATTAAGGTCTGGAACAGGTTAACTAGGGAGGTTGCAGAATCCCCATCATTGGAAGTTTTTAAGCCCAGGTTGGCAAGATACCTGTCAGGGATGGTCTAGGTTTATTTGGTCCAGCCTCAGTGAAAAGGGGTAGACTAGGTGACCTTTCAAGGTCACTTCCAGGCTGACATTTCTATAATTCTAGGATTTTGGTTTGCTGACCTGACCTGAAATGCTTCATTTCAAGTGAGTTCAACATTAAACTTCAGTTCCTTATCAGCACATTGCCTTCTGGAAGCTGTAGTTCAGGCCTCTGTTTTCCCTTATGTAGGCCCTGTCTGGACTACAACTCCTACAATGCACTGAGTCAGGTGATTCCCTTGATGCCCTGAACATTCAATCAGAGGCAACTCCAGGTTGGGAGCTGGGAGATGTAGTCCTCAAGGGAGCCAACCCCTTAGGAGAGAATACAGACCTGAACTACTACTCTGGAAAGGCAATGCACAGATAGGAAAAAGCAGTTTAATATTTTGTTGAACTGATTCCAAACTAAATGTTTGAGTTCATTTTAAAAAACTGAAATATTCTGATTCAGGTGGAACTGACCCAGAATGAAATATTTCCTTTCAATTTGCCTAGAGCAAAAATTGAAAATTGATTGTTTGCTGTGGAAAATTTCAGTATTGTAGGAACTACCTTTTCCACGGTTACATCATTCTGTCCAGCTCTAGATTTCTCTCTCTGACCACCCATTGAGAGGACTGTTCTGTGTGGTGGAAAGGGCTGGGCCTTCAGCTGCAGAGAACACCTGTACCACATGCAGTCTGAGATCTCCGCAGGACAGGCTGGGCTGGGTAATGTCAGTCACTGATGTTATTCTCCTTATTGGCAGGGTGATTCCGGCGGGCCCCTGGTGTGCAACGGGGTGGTCCAGGGCATTGTTTCCAATGGAGATCCGGACGGACACCCCCCCAGCATATACACAAGAATCTCCAAATTCATCCCCTGGATCAACGAAACTCTGCAGAAGCTGCGTTAAAGGAGACACTCCCCTTTAAAGGGCAAATATTGCCATACTGGGCAATGTGCCTGTGTGGAACCCCGCGGTGCTTTAGATCAGAGTATTTTTTCCTAGTGTTAGAGAAATGCTACGAATGGCTCAGTCCTGAAATCCTTTTGTGGCTAGAAATACCCCATCGATGTTTGAAATTTCATTCTATGTTTTTTTCACCCCAAGTGGCTAGTCAATGTTTGGGACCCTGAGGGTGTTCCAGTTGGAAGCAGATTGATGATGCAGTCTGGTATTTCCTTTGCTGTGATCTATTTATTTACAAGGAATATCCCAAGTCCTCTTTCCCTGAACACAGTTGGAATCAAACAGCAGCAGACAGCAACTCTGTTCACTGTCCCAAGCCTGCATCTCCAGCCTGCATCTCCATCTCTGTGCTCAAAAAGCTTCTTCTCTTAGCTGTCTCTCAGGGCCATATTTCTTTGCTTCCAGGTTGTTTCTGCCTGGCTTTTTACTTTGTGTCTGACTTGCTTCTGTCCCCGTATCTCTCCATTTGTGTTGTGTCTGTCCGATCCAAGTGCCCCATTACCCCCAGAACAATATTTGGTGAAAAACTTTCCTCCTGAGTCATAGAATCATAGAATCATAGAATATCAGGGTTGGAAGGGACCCCAGAAGGTCATCTAGTCCAACCCCCTGCTCGAAGCAGGACCAATTCCCAGTTAAATCATCCCAGCCAGGGCTTTGTCAAGCCTGACCTTAAAAACCTCTAAGGAAGGAGATTCTACCACCTCCCTAGGTAACTCATTCCAGTGTTTCACCACCCTCTTAGTGGAAAAAGTTTTTCCTAATATCCCATCTAAACCTCCCCCACTGCAACTTGAGACCATTATTCCTCGTTCTGTCATCTACTACCATTGAGAACAGTCTAGAGCCATCCTCTTTGGAACCCCCTTTCAGGTAGTTGAAAGCAGCTATCAAATCCCCCCCTCATTCTTCTCTTCTGCAGGCTAAACAATCCCAGCTCCCTCAGCCTCTCCTCATAACTCATGTGTTCCAGACCCCTAATCATTTTTGTTGCCCTTCGCTGGACTCTCTCCAATTTATCCACATCCTTCTTGAAGTGTGGGGCCCAAAACTGGACACAGTACTCCAGATGAGGCCTCACCAATGTCGAATAGAGGGGAACGATCACGTCCCTCGATCTGCTCGCTATGCCCCTACTTATACATCCCAAAATGCCATTGGCCTTCTTGGCAACAAGGGCACACTGCTGACTCATATCCAGCTTCTCGTCCACTGTCACCCCTAGGTCCTTTTCCGCAGAACTGCTGCCTAGCCATTCGGTCCCTAGTCTGTAGCATTCATTAGTCATTAGAATTCCCCCATGTGTACAGGGTTTTACTTCAGCAGAGGGGATTCTGGAGCAAGGGTAAAATTTTTTTCTATTGAATTTTATAGACCCTCTACAAATGCTGATCATTTTTATACCTAATCCATTCTTCAGGAGTTTTCCACCATCAAAATTCCTAGCGGCAGTGTGTCATTGGCTGGCTTAAAAACTTTCTTTCATCCAACCAGAGAGCAGGAATGGGGCCATGTGGCTTAGGTGGGCAACCTATCACCACGAAGCGTGGCGAGTCAAATTAAACAGCCCATGACAATAGAACATTGAAACAATTGCATGAAAACATATGAAATTTCGAATGTTTTGTTTCGCACAGTTTGAGCCAGACCTGACTTTTATTTGTTTTCAGTATTTCCTTTTCTTTTTTCCTCTCCCCGCCCCACAAATATTTAATTATTTATTATATATTACCTGATACTAACTGGAGGTTGGTAAAACCAAAATCCTGGGAACCTGGAAAGCATAGATTGGGACAAAATGAAGAATTGTGTATTTCCAAATATTTGGAAAATATTGAAAACGGATGGTTGTTTGAGGGGAAAAAAGCCATTTTTGAATAAGAACAGTCTTGTTTGAACAATTCGTGCTGCCTTTTCCATTACTGGCCTGTAGATTGGACTTTGCGTGTGTGAGTGAACCAGGGTTGGGTAAGGATAATGGGGCGGTGGGCAGGATGCAGGGAAGCTGGGTTGAGCAATTAGCAAAATTGGAACTAAATATGAACATCTAGGCCCAGATCCACAGAAGGGTTTAGGTGCAAAACTCCCATTGAAATCACCAGGAGCCTAAATATCTTTGTGGATCTGGGCCCCTAGCTCTTCCCATCAGCAGATCTCCAAGCACTTTACAAAGGTGGTTGGGCTCATTAGCCCCAGATGGGAAAACTGAGGCATGGAGAGGGGCCATGACTTGCCCAAGGTTACCCAGCAGCAGAGCTGGGAACAGAACCCAGGTATCCTGAGGTGCGGGCCTGTGGTCTCGCGACTAGGCCACACTGCTTCGCCACAACTTGCAGCACCTCAGTCCGATGGTTCTAGGACCTGCGGCCGCCCCAAACTCCTCCGCCACACTGCTTGTAAATTTCACTTCCTGTCTTATATACTCTGGAATCAGTACAGATCTGATACCAATGTCTCCAGCACTGAGTTCCCTGCTGACCCGTGTCGTCTGGGGCAAGCGCTGACTCCACTCAGGCAGGGTAGGTCTCTGGTTACAGGTTGTGGGGCTGTAACACCTAAAGGGCTGGAATTATGCCCAACCCCCACCCTGACACCCAAATCCAGTAGCTGACAAGCAGATACAGATGGAATTGATCTGTGTGTCTCCACACTCCCCTCCGTCTGGCTCTCTCTCCACCTGTTAACAGGGGCATTGCTGGCCAGTGCTCCCCAGTACCGAGCAATGCCGTGTTCCTGATCCCTGGCTGAATAAAGACCAGATTTGTCTGAGCCAGAGGGATGACAGAGATTCCCAGAGCTGCCTGCAGATATCCTGGGTCCCTCCACCCCGATCCACTGCAATAAGAGACCCACGTTCCTTCGATAGATTCGTCCATTCCAAGGCCGGAAGGGACCACGGTGCTGGTCCCGTCTGACCCCTGCATAGCCGTGGCCCTGGGACAGCCCTGAGCTAATCCTGGCTTGAACTAGAACAGAGCTGTTAGAGAAATGTCCCAGCTTGCGTTACACATCACCAGGGAAGGAGAATCCAGCCCAGGCCTTGGCAGAAGCATCTCCAAGCCTGATGCTGGCCCAGCCACTAAAGGGATTCGAATGTCCAACTCCCAGGCAATGTCATTCAGATCCCCTGGGCTGGGCGCTCTGGCCCACACTGTATGGGAGCGGGGGGCAGAGGAGATGGTCTGATGGTCTCCACTGGCCGTCATCTCTCCACTCTACGAACAGCTCAGCATCCATGTGATAGAAACCTTCCCACCTTCACGGTTGTCATAAATATAAAGGGAAGGGTAAACCCCTTTAAAATCCCTCCTGGCCAGAGGAAAAAACCTCTCACCTGTAAAGGGTTAAGAAGCTAAAGGTAACCTCGCTGGCACCTGACCAAATGACCAATGAGGAGACAAGATACTTTCAAAAGCTGGGAGGGAGAAAAACAAAGGGTCTGTGTCTGTCTGTATGATGCTTTTGCCGGGGACAGAACAGGAATGGAGTCTTAGAACTTAGTAAGTCATCTAGCTAGGTATGTGTTAGATTATGATTTCTTTAGATGGCTGAGAAAATAGCTGTGCTGAATAGAATGAATATTCCTGTCTGTGTGTCGTTTTTGTAACTTAAGGTTTTGCCTAGAGGGATTCTCTATGTTTTGAATCTAATTACCCTGTAAGGTATCTACCATCCTGATTTTACAGAGGTGATTCCTTTACTTCTATTAAAAGTCTTCTTGTAAGGAAACTGAATGCTTTTTCATAGTTCTAAGATCCAAGGGTTTGGGTCTGTGGTCACTTATGCAAATTGGTGAGGATTTTTACAAACCTTCCCCGGGAATCCAGGAAGTTTTTGGAAAATGTAGGGGACAATTTCCTGGTGCAAGTGCTGGATGAACCAACTAGGGGCAGAGCTCTTCTTGACCTGCTGCTCACAAACCGGGAAGAATTAGTAGGGGAAGCAAAAGTGGACGGGAACCTGGGAGGCAGTGACCATGAGATGGTCGAGTTCAGGATCCTAACACAAGGAAGAAAGGAGAGCAGCAGAATACAGACCCTGGACTTCAGAAAAGCAGACTTTGACTCCCTCAGGGAATTGATGGGCAAGATCCCCTGGGAGAATAACATGAGGGGGAAAGGAGTCCAGGAGAGCTGGCTGTATTTTAAAGAATCCTTATTGAGGTTACAGGGACAAACCATCCCGATGTGTAGAAAGAATAGTAAATATGGCAGGCGATTAGCTTGGCTTAACAGTGAAATCCTTGCTGCTCTTAAATACAAAAAAGAAGCTTACAAGAAGTGGAAGATTGGACAAATGACCAGGGATGAGTATAAAAATATTGCTCGGGCTTGCAGGAGTGAAATCAGGAAGGCCAAATCACACCTGGAGTTGCAGCTAGCAAGAGATGTTAAGAGTAACAAGAAGGGTTTCTTCAGGTATGTTAACAACAAGAAGAAAGTCAAGGAAAGTGTGGGCCCCTTACTGAATGAGGGAGGCAACCTCATGACAGAGTATGTGGAAAAAGCTAATGTACTCAATACTTTTTTTGCCTCTGTCTTCACGAACAAGGTCAGCTCCCAGACTGCTGCACTGGGCAGCACAGCATGGGGACCAGGTGACCAGCCCTCTGTGGAGAAAGAAGTGTTTCGGGACTATTTAGAAAAGCTGGACGAGCACAAGTCCATGGGGCCGGATGCGGTGCATCCGAGAGTGCTAAAGGAGTTGGCGGATGTGATTGCAGAGCCATTGCCCATTATCTTTCAAAACTCGTGGCGATCGGGGGAGGTCCCGGATGACTGGAAAAAGGCTAATGTAGTGCCCATCTTTAAAAAAGGGAAGAAGGAGGATCCTGGGAACTACAGGCCAGTCAGCCTCACCTCAGTCCCTGGAAAAATCATGGAGCAGGTCCTCAAGGAATCAATTCTGAAGCACTTAGAGGAGAGGAAAGTGATCAGGAATAGTCAGCGTGGATTCACCAAGGGCAAGTCATGCCTGACTAATCTAATTGCCTTCTATGACGAGATAACTGGCTCTGTGGATGAAGGGAAAGCAGTGGATGTGTTGTTCCTTGACTTTAGCAAAGCTTTTGACACGGTCTCCCACAGTATTCTTGCCAGCAAGTTAAAGAAGTATGGGCTGGATGAATGGACTATAAGGTGGATAGAAAGCTGGCTAGATTGTTGGGCTCAATGGGTAGTGATCAATGGCTCCATGTCTAGTTGGCAGCCGGTATCAAGTGGAGTGCCCCAGGGGTCGGTCCTGGGGCTGGTTTTGTTCAATATCTTCATAAATGATCTGGAGGATGGTGTGGATTGCACCCTCAGCAAGTTTGCAGATGACACTAAACTGGGAGGAGAGGTAGATATACTGGAGGGTAGGGCTAGGATCCAGAGGGACCTAGACAAATTGGAGGATTGGGCCAGAAGAAATCTGATGAGATTCAACAAGGACAAGTGCAGAGTCCTGCACTTAGGACAGAAGAATCCCATGCACCGCTACAGACTAGGGACCGAATGGCTCGGCAACAGTTGTGCAGAAAAGGACCTAGGGGTTACAGTGGACGAGAAGTTGGATATGAGTCAACAGTGTGCCCTTGTTGCCAAGAAGGCCAATGGCATTTTGGGATGTATAAGTAGGGGCATTGCCAGCAGATCGAGGGACGTGATCGTTCCCCTCTATTCGACATTGGTGAGGCCTCATCTGGAGTACTGTGTCCAGTTTTGGGCCCCACACCACAAGAAGGATGTGGAAAAATTGGAAAGAGTCCAGCGGAGGGCAACAAAAATGATGAGGGGACTGGAACACATGACTTATGAGGAGAGGCTGAGGGAACTGGGGATGTTTAGTCTTCAGAAGAGAAGAATGAGGGGGGATTTGATAGCTGCTTTCAACTACCTGAAAGGGGGTTCCAAAGAGGATGGATCTAGACTGTTCTCAGTGGTAGCAGATGACAGAACAAGGAGTAATGGTCTCAAGTTGCAGTGAGGGAGATTTAGGTTGGATATTAGGAAAAACATTTTCACTATGAGGGTGGTGAAACACTGGAATGTGTTACCTAGGGAGGTGGTGGAATCTCCTTCCCTAGAAGTTTTTAAGGTCAGGCTTGACAAAGCCGTGGCTGGGATGATTTAGTCGGGGATTGGTCCTGCTTAGAGCAGCGGGTTGGACTAGATGACCTCCTGAGGTCCCTTCCAACCCTGATATTCTATGATTCTAAGTGGGGTGCAAGGGTTGGGAGGTTTTTTCAGGAACCCAGATAAAGTTTGGTGGTGGCAGTGGAAGTCCAAGGGTAAAATAGTTTGTACCTTCGGGAAGTTTTAACCTAAGCTGGTAAAAGTAAGCTTAGGAGGTTTTCATGCAGGTCCCCACATCTGTACCCTAGAGTTCAGAGTGGGGAAGGAACCTTGACAACCGTGTTTCCTTCTCTGTATTCAGGGCAATTCCTGTTAAACAGAGTCTGTCTTTGGCCGTGTAACAAACACCGCGGGGTTCTCCCAGCACTTGGGAGGGGAGACCCCTAACCGCTGGCAGTTACACTGCAGGTTATTGCACTGTTACGCCCCACTGACCCCAGCTGGGATCTGGCCCGTTGACTCCAGTGGAGCTACTGCCCATTCACACCCGCTCAGGGTCTGGCCCATTGACCCCTAGGGCTGTGCACAGCTGGGGCCCAGCACACCCTGGTGGATGTGCACATCTGGAGCCCAGCACTCAGTTTTGTTGCCATGCTTCCCCTTCCCGGGCGCTCCACATCCCCCTCTGAGGCACATCCATCACCAGGGCCGGGCCAGGCCGGCCTGTGCATCTCCCCGCTGATGCATTTCACCTCTGCCCGGTGTCACGCCTCCACAGGATCTCTGCTGTGCCCTGGCTTTCCAACCGCTGCTCGGTGTAGGCCCGTCACTCTGCTGACCCCCCTACGGTGCCACATTGCCTTCAGAATGGGTCCCGGGGCCTCACTGCCTCCAAGACTGAGCCCCTGGGCTCCAGCCCCCCTGCTTCACACCGTGAGCTCTGCCCGGTGAAGCCAACTGAGAGAGACTCCTGCTAACAGGTGTCTACGCTCCCCAGGGACCTGTGCACCCCAGCCGGGATTGGCAGTGACACCCAGCCGCCTATTCCAAAGAGAGCCGGGTGTACTGGTTCCCTGGACTGAACACAGATTGGGGATGTCCTCGGCTTAGCCTGGGTTAGGCATAGTCCATCTGGCCCCGCTAGTGCACGGAGCCAGCCATGCTGGGCACACCCCAGTTCTGCTCCCTCTCCCCGTCCTTGTTTCTTTGTCTGTCCCAGGGGAGAGCGCCCATGTCTCTGCAAAGGCCAGTTCTCTCCCCAGCTCCCCAGCACATCTGGGCCATTGTCCTCCTGCTGAGCCCTCCTGCATGGCCTGCTGGGATTTCCCATCACGAGAGTGTGGAACTCCCATTGGCTTTCCAGCTCCTCCAACAATCTGGGTCAGGTTCAGCTAGTTGTTAATGACACATTCACGCCACCCCCCAGAGGATGACATATCCCAGCACCTCCTGTCTTCTGCTCTATTCCAAGAGCAGCTTTTTAACCCTTTAACCTCCATGCCCAGCAATGCAAAGCACAGAGGGGAAACTGAGGCATGACCAGGCATCATAAAAATATGACGACTAGTCCCACATTCATCACACCCAGCTCCAGCTTGTCCTGCGAGGCATGTGGCTGAGGCCGAGTCAATGCTGCCGAGTCAATGCTGCCCTTCGTGAACCTTCATGTGTGTGTGGGTGGGGGGAGGGAGCAGAGTGGAAAGGCAGGGGGATAAAATTGGGTCCTGCCTTTTAAAATTGGTGGCAGGGAGTCAGGCAGGAGAGGTGCTACGGATGGTGCAAGGCAAATGCTCTACAGAGACGGCACCCAGGTGTCTGGGACAGCAGGGTACTCACCCCTAGGGGGCTCCCTGAGTTAGCATATGCTGGGAGGTAGAGACTGGGAGATGGGATGGGACCCAGGCATCCGGGACAGCAGTGCAGGGCACTCACCCTCAGGGGACGCCAAAGTACAGACAGACAATGATTCCCCAAAGAGTCTCTTCTCAGGTAGGATTTTATTACGTGGGGGGAGTAAAAAGCTGGGCTTTTATTCAAGCACCCGCTGGGCTTGGCACCACCATTCTGGGTTGGGAGGACTCCTTCGTACTCAGAAAACTCCCCAAACCCAGCTCTGCCCCCTTCAATGAAGGGATGCAGGGCTTTCAGCGTGGGACCCTGGGCTGCTGAGACCCCATTGTTTTCTTGATCCAGGGGACGTACGCGGAGACCCTAGTGAACACCCTCGGAGGGGACCCGTCTTTTTTGCCAAAGGAGACGATGCCCTGGGCTGTCCCGTCACACACCAGGGGGCCCCCGGAGTCGCCCTGAGAAATCAAAGCAGGTAGAGGGTAAATATGAGCTCAAAGCACAGCATTCACCTGTCCTTTTTGAACTGTTCTATAGCAGGGATTGCAGTCCCCCACTGCCCCACCTAGCTAGCTAGATAAATAGATAGAGAATCCAGCCCAGGCCTTGGCAGCAGCGTCTCCGAGCCTGATGCTGGCCCAGCCACTAAAGGGATTCAAATGGCCAATTCCCAGGCAATGTCATTCAGATCCCTTGGGCTGGGTGCTCTGGCCCACACTGTGTGGGGGTGGGGGCAGAGGAGATGGTATGATGGTCTCCGCTGGCCGTCATCTCTCCGGCTCTACGAAC